TACAACCTGAATTGGTTCATCTCTACCAGACCTCTTCATTACTTCCCAGTCACCTTCCCATAGTGACCTCTGTCATTTTAAGGTTACTATATTAGGTCCTCTACAGTGGACACATCAAACACTTTCAAGTTTTGGGTTTCCTACCTTTCCCTATTCCTCCTGTATGTCTTCTCCCCTTAGTGTGTGAACCAAGTCTAATACATTACTGCATTTGTTTGTCTTATACTTTTTTTTTTTTGGCATACTGTGGTTTAAACTCAGGGTCTTGTGCTTGCTAAGTAGACACTTGAGCCACTCTAGTCAGACCTTTTTTTGTGTGGGTATTTTCGAGACAGGGTCTCATAAACTATTTGCCTGGTCTCTTTTCTAACCACAATCCTGATCTCTGCCACCTAAATCACTAGGATTGCTAGTGGCATGAGCCACTGACACCCAGTAGTCTTATATTTTTTATACCCTTTGGCAATTTTAAAAATTGCTGCTGGTTCTCAAGAACTTTTGTTTATGTGGGCTATTTATTAATTTAAAAAAATACATTACATATTAACTTAAGATTTTAAAACAAAAAATAACTATATCTTCAAAAATTAATGCTGGTGCTGTGGCACCTGTAAACCTAGCTACTTAGGAGGCCGAGATCAGGAGGACTGTGGTTCCAGGTCAGCCTGGGCAAATAGTTCGAAAAAACCCCATCTCCAAAATAACCATAGCAAAAATAGACTGGAGATTGCCAGTCAGAAGCACTGAGTTCAAACTTTAATCCCACCAAAAAAATAAATAAGTGAGAAGTGGTGCTGCTTTCCATGTTTGGAAATATCTCTTTTTTTCATATTTCATTATATAATATGAAAAACAAAATTAGGTTAGCTTCTATCACCAATCTTATCAGAAAGGTAAATATTAGCAAGTTATCAAGCTGAAGGTTAGTGAAGTTTTTCAAACATTTATCAATCACTTGAAAGCTCAAATTTTATCATTAGCAACAAATACCATGAGATTTTCTCCTTGAATTAGTATTTTGAAGAAAATGTCAGTCTAGTACCCAAGTCTGAGCAACCACCATGTTCACGATGTTTTTGATTGTAAAATGGTATTCCATTAAAGAAGTGGTTCAACTCACAAGTTAAACAACACAAGCAGGGCGCCTCAGAGCTATTATCATATTTTGATATGCAACAGAAGTACTTTATGCATGCACACTTTCTGATCATATAGAATATTAAAAAGATGTACACTTAAGGATGGAGGTTAATTAAAAATAAGAATTTTACTAATCATGAAAATTATTTTTAAGTGAAATTGACTTGTTTTTAACTATAAATACCTAACAGTGATAAATGCAATGATTACTAGAAGAATAAGGTGTCACTGCCTTGCTTCATCTAAAAGCGCCAGCAGTTTTGATTTTTTTTTTTTTGGTACCGGGGTTTGAACTAGAGCCTACACCTTGAGCCACTAAATCATCCCTTTTTATGTTAGGTATTTTTGAGATAAGGTCTCACAAACTATTTGCTAGGGCTGGCTTTGTACCCTGATCCTCCTGATCTCTGCCTCCTGAGTAGCTGGGATTACAGGTGTGAGCCACAGGCTCCTAGTGCCAGCAGTTTTAACCCAATGTTTTTAGCGCTATGATTGCAAATGCCAACTCACATCTTAGTATTGTTATAAAAAGTTTTGAGCTGGGCACTGGTGGCTCACGCCTATAATAACTACACAGGAGGCAGAGATCAGGAGGATCACGGTTTGAGCCCAGCCAGGGAAATAGTTTATGAGACCCTATTTCAAAAAACCATTCACAGAAAAGGGTTGGTGGAGTAGCTCAAAGTGTAGGCTCTGAGTTCAAGCCCCAGTACCACACATACACAAAAAAAGAATAGTTTTGATCTTTGATCTCACATACTATTTGAAAGAGTCTCGGGATCCAGGGGGGTCCTCAGAACACATTTTAAGAATTATCAGACTAAATGATTTTCTTTTTATATAAGGAAGTGAAGTGACATTAAGAGTAACAATATTTTTCTCTTTTCTTTTTTTTGGAGGTGGGTTCTTGCTATGTTGCCCAGGCAAGGTTCAAACTCTTGAACTCAAATGATCCTCCTGATTCATCCCAAGTAGCTGGGAACAGACATGTACCACCACATTGAACTCTAAATGATTTTATGTTTGCTAATTTAGAATTGTATATTTATCTGTATTTGTAAGTTACATACAGGTGATCAAAAATATTTTGCTTGTTTCTTTTGTGTTAAAATATACATATTACTTTAGAAAAAAGAACATTTAGATATGCTTTACACTGGTATTCTAAACAAGTTTTAATTAATTATATGTAAGATTTGATGTTAAATGTCATTGGAGTGTTTGATATTACGAAGCAAAACCAATAGTCACCACACTGAAAATATTTAACTTAAACCAAAATAAGAATTCCTTGATAGATTAAGCAACCAATAGTTAATCCACTTAGAACAATATGGTCTAGCATTGTATTTATGAAATTTATAATCTACTGGAGGAGATGACTTTAATAATGATTGTATGGTCTTAAATCTAAGTTGTAGGAATTTAAGAGAACAGGTTCCAGTAGTTGAGAAGTACTTGATAAATAAGATAAAAACCAAATTAGGACTTAAAGGACAGATAATTAGTGAAGAAAGAAGACCTTTGAGAATCAAAGCAATAGGAGTAAAGCTGGAGGGGGTGGAGAATTGCATTCCTAAAGGTGGGGAAAGCAGAAAAAGTCAATCAACTAATTTAAGTACAAGACCAAGTCAGTCAGTAATGAGAGATCAGGCTAACTGGATAGAATGAGGACAGAAGTCAAGAATGTTTTGGAAACCACAGAATAATGTAGACAACATAGTATTATATATTTCTTATGACAGAAAGATTACTGAAAGACTATACTTTAGGAATATTAATTTAGACATTTGATTATAAGAGGAACAGACTTACAGAAAGACCATTTGGGAGCCAGATACTTTAAGTATTGGGAGCAGAGGTTCATAGTGAGCTAAGTTTGGGGCAATGGGAATGAAATGAAGTGAATCCAAGTGATAATTAATTTAGTATTAATAATAGGTTAAGTTAAGGAGAAGAGCAAATTAAAGATGATTCAAAGACGATTAGGATTATAGAGGTAAGAAGTAATAAAGATTAAGAGCAATGCATTGTATGCTAAGCAGCATAAAAGAAACACAACACATTAATTGTCATAAACTCTGAGATAAACATTCATTTTATAGATAAGGAAGCTGAAGTTGAGTGATTAAGTAACTTGCCTTGGTAATAAAGTAACTAAGGCACCCTTGACACATCTCTTGATCTAACTGTTGAGATAACAAGCTATATACCAAAGCCTACAGTCACCTGCCTGCTTGTAAGTGGCTCTGCCACTTGTAAGCTATGAGGTTGCTTGACTTTACTGTGCTTCAGTTTTCTTATCTGTAAATTTCAGATAGTAAATTACCTCATAGAACCATAGTGAGGAAATAGTACATCCAAACAGACATTTGACATTATTGTATCAGCACAATACGATGGTGTCATTAGTATACAGAAGATATAGTTTGGGATGTAAAAATATAAAATTTCAAACTAGCTAAATTGGAAATGGCATCTACACAGGTATTTTTAGATAAATAAAAATTTTAAATATATTTTTAAATGAAGTACTTTTGTAGCAATAACTACAAAAGTCCAGATGTACTTGATAAGATCATGGGCATGGATGACTTAATTATTTATGAAATTTTTTTAGAAGTACAAATCCTGATCATATAGATAGTTCCTTGTGTAACGGTTTTATAAAACTTCTCTTTACTTTGCGTAAGATACATTGGATGCTAGAAGTACAAAGGTACCTTAAAAAAAGTGGACAGGGAGAAAATATACAAAATTGTAAAACGCAGTAAGACAATATATAAGAAATAAATGACACTAACAAAAGAAAGCTGCAGAAGTTTATTTTAAAAAAGAGGTTACTGTGGGTTGTGACAATCTAAGAAGATACATGTAGCATATACAGGACCTTGAAAGGAGTAAATGGAGGCAATTAAGAGAAAGATGATAGAGTGGGGAAGAGGATTTTCTAGTATAGGCAGCAACATAGACATGGCAAATAGAATACACATGGCACATTCAGGGAAACCAAAAACAGCAGCTGAACTTGAACAATGTGTACACAGAGGAAATTCAACAGGATTGAAAGTTTTTGTCAAGTTCTAAAGAGCTTCAAATACTGGTTTAAGGATCGTATTTCACTGTACAAGCCAAGAAGCATTTTTCTTTCTTTTTTAGAGTTTGACTTCCCTAGCTACATCATCTACTTCTAAAAACTGAAAAGTTAAATTGTTTTAGAAGTACTATTCTGTCCTTTATTCCTCTTATTTTGTCAACTAGTAAGTCTCATATGTAATTAAGTAAGAATCTTCATATATTTGCTGTCAGTTATGCTTCATATTGAAAAGTTATTCTTAAGGTTTCTTAGTATTTTCAGTTTTAAGGAAATGTTCTGCCTTTAGAAAAGGCTTTTCAAGTAAATGAAACTCAATAAAAGAAATAAAACTCAAAACTGACCATAACTAGACAAGGGAAACACACCTGCTTTCAACTTAAAATTCAAGTCAGAGCTTAGAACGTTGCCTCTGGCACAAACCCTACAATTTTTTGATAGCTGGCAAGTACTTTTTAAGAATTAAAATGTAAATTAAAGACTCTATGTAGTAGATTAAATACATTTCATTCATACTAATGAAATATAACAACCAAAATACATTTATAGCAACAATATGTGGTCTAATTTAGGTACAATAAAGAAAATAATACTAAATCATAACAAAGAAAATCATAACCAAATAGTTTAGGTACATGCAATTTTAAATAGTTTACCTCATTACAGTATCAAACAGCATGTACATATATCTGCATATCATATTCAAAGATCACAGTGTTTTTCCCTTCTACCAATAGTGTATCAATTGGTTTACAGTAAGACTTACCCTAATATTCTATTCATTCCATGTCGAGCAGCATAGTGTAATGGAGTATTATGCTGGTAGGGTTCCCCATAAGATATATTTGGATCGAGGGATTCTTTTAGCTGAGGATTGTTTTCATATATTTGGCAAGCCAGGTTTTCATCACCATTGATGAGTGCCTTCCGGAATTTGGTGGTTGTATTTCCCATGTTTTGTTCTCTTTTCTTTTCTGATAGGCAGTGGCACTTTTTTCTTTCTTCCTTCAGCCACTTCGTGAATGCTTCTGCAACATGTTCCACATTCTAATGAGGGAAAAGTTATTCAAATTAGATTATAAAACAGTAATTACAAAACAACATCCTAAAGAAGCAATTAGAAACACTAATAAAATCTGGGAAGCATATGTAAGAAACAAACACTATTACATGTTACCAAATCTATCTTAGCAGAAAAATCTCAAATTTTTAACATTACCCAAATTAACTTCTTGTTAAACTATAACATTTTTCCACACAGAGACTGCTAAGGTTTCACAGACTGCACTTTGTCCCATAAAAGTTATCCATATATATGAGCTTTTTTAATTTCCCTTTTCACATGGGCAGGAAATCAGTTTCATGAAGTTTTATGGTTGAATACACTTAAATTTCTTACTCAGACAACTTGTGGGATAGTAAAAAAATATATGAGTAAGAACTGAAGAATAGTCTTAAACTATGATAAAGGAAAAGGGAAACTGCTCAGCACTCATACAGACATCAGAGCAAAGACTTTACAAGTGCAAATATATACAGCTACACAATTTACTGATACTTAGATAACCACAGCAAACTAATAAAACTGATTACACATAGAAAAAATGAGATAGTGATTATTCTACCTTTAAAAACCATTAAATTTATTTCCTTCTACTATAAAGAATTCAAAACAAGGCTGAAACATTAAATGTTTATGTATACTATGTTTAGAAAGATATTATGATAAAGATCACAACACAATGTGAGATGTGTGTCGGGGGTAAGTCATAGAAACAATCACTGGACTTGAAATTTGGAATATCATATTTACCTACACAAAGTGTAATTTTAAGCAAGCTATTCACCTTCTAAAAGCCTCAAGTACCATATGTACAGCAAGGAAAATGACTATTTCTTAGGCATAGCTACAAGGAATATAAAATCAAATTTTGGTAAAGTGCCTAGAGCAGTTCTTGTTCAATGCCAGTGTTGCTCTATTGAAATAAGTGTTCTTTCTGAATCTATATTGAATTATGATTGTTATAGCTGAATAATCCCTAAAAGGCTAAATGTTGAAGGCTTAGTCCCTAGCCTGTGGCACTATCCAGAAGAAGTTAGATCATTAGGTCCACGCACTTGAATTGTATATTGGGACCCCAGACCTTTCTTCACTTTTTTTTACTTCTCTGCCATCTTGAGGTGAACAGGCCACCTCTGCTACATGTTTTTGCTATGTGTGCCACCACAGAACCTAAGCAACAGATCCAAGTGACCATAGGCTGAGACCTCTGAAAACAGCCTGACCCAAAATATACCTTCTCTCCTTTAAGTTGATTATTAGGTATTCTGTCACAGTAGCAGAAAGCAACACAATTATTAAAATTAACGTCAAAGGAAATAGCATAAACAAAAGCAAGTATGAAAAAAACCCAGAAAAGCCCTGTGGAAGAACTGCTGAGTATGCATGGAATTTAGGGTCTCTAGCATTGAATGTACAGAAGATAAAACAGGTTGGGCCAGAGAAGGAATTTACAGTTTAACTGGAAAAGGACAAATTGTCAAACGTATTTATTTATAATTATTTTGGGCTTTAGAAAATTAACTATTGTGAGAGGGGGAGGAGGTAGAGAAAGGGTGTGAGAGGGGGAGGAGGTGGAGAAAGGGTGTGGGAGGGTGAATACAGGGCAAAATACTGTGTACACATGTATGTAAATGGAAAAATGACACCTGTTGAAATGATTCAAGAAATGGAGGGGAAATAAAAAGTAGAATGATAGAGGGGATGAGTTAAAATATGATATACTTGATATATTGTAAGAACTTTTATAAAGGACAGAATGTACCCTAACCTAGCACAACAATAAAAAAGAAGAAAATTAACTACTGTAAAAATATAGAAGCTAGAATACAGGAAGGAAAACTTAAAGGCAGAGAATGTAAGATTCTATCATGTTAGCCAAATAATTCAGTGGCAGGCTGAACACTAAAACATAGCTTTAAAGAAACATTTGAAATTATATCCATGCTATTCAATGTAGTAACAATTACAACAGATTACAATTTAAAGACAGAAAACAAATGAGTTATTTTAAGTTTCCTATAAAATAGTGGCTTTGCAGCTGCTTTTTAAAAAACTGGGAATATGATGGCTCAAGTGGTAGAATGCCTGCCTAGCAAGCACAAGGTCCTGAGTTCAAACTGTAACACTGGCCAAAAAGACAACAACCCAACAGTGGCTGTATATCCTAATAACCTGGAGAACCTCAAAGTATCCTATTGATCAAGCTATATCCCAGACCAATTAAAAACTTCAATCAAGGTAGCATCCAGGCACTGACATTTAACTTCCTTGGGTGATTTCAATATAAAACATCACAAATAAAAAGTTTCCTGTATTCTTCCAGCTAAATGTGGGGACATCTGCCAAACCTATTTTAGAGGCAGGTGTTATTGACTTAGTATAGCAGTACATTTTCTAGCCCATTAATATACTTAATGAAGTCACCAATTGGATCTTCTATGGGTACTCTGTTACTATACAAACACATGCACTATAAAATTTCTTGGAAAACATAAATAAAAAGAACAAAACTCATCGATTTATTGTACAATAACCACTGTTTTATAATGTGTATGATAACCCTATATAATGTGTACAGGCATACACACACACACACACACATATACTTGTGTGCATATGTAGGAGTGATATGCTTATTCTCCATGAAGCAATTGTGTTTTACTGTATAAGTCTAAGCACTTAAATGTTTATTATGCCTTTTTTTTTTTTTTTGAGATAGGGTCTCACCATGTCTGGTCTCTGGTGATCCTCCTGCCTCTGCCTCCTCAGTGCTAGGATTACGGGGGTATACCACCACATCCAACTTATATTTATTATTCTTAATAAGAATTCCATTCAGATTACTATATATTTTTATGTATACAAGCATAAATAATGTGGGTTCTGAGGAGTCTTTTCTAAGGATTAGTAAACTTTCACTTGTTTTTGTATAATTTTTCAAAGTTGTGGGTTAGATTAGTAAATAACACGTTTCCTTTGATTTACAGTTCTGTGTTACTTTAGCAAAATGTTCTATTACAAAAATAATTTGAAACCAAGATGTAAAAAAAAACCAAGTATCTATGAAAGCAACAGTATTTTAGGAGACTTATTTAAAGTAATAAGATACTTCTAAAAAAACCAATATTCTAAATGTGTATTACATACTACTGTTACTTATGTAGAAAATGGGATCTAGAAGCTTTTTTGTGGCTTTCAGTTATCACCAAGTCTGTTGCATTTTTAAGCCTGAAAGTCACCAGGAAACACATCATTTAAAAGTCACAGCTCCACTCTGCACAGATTTATTCTCACAGAACCTCAAAAAAGTCAAATTCTAAGTATTCCTTCCCAGTATATTGAAATACAAGTGAATTTATATTGACTTTATATTCTATGAACCTGCTAAGTTCACTTACTACTTTTAGGAGTTTAAAAAAACTAGATTTGGGGGGGTTGTCTAAAGTAGAGTCACATCATTTATAATGAATGATTACAGTTGTGTTTCTTCCTTTTATCTTGCCTCACTGTATGCACTAGCTGGATGGATTTCAAATAAGTGGGCAGAAGTTTGAGGAGAAACAGCATTATCTGCATACATTCAAAGCATTTCCCTCAGGATATTTAAAAATTATAAAGTGAATAATACCAATTTTATAGTAGAGAAACATGAGAAATGCCACCTTAATAGAGTAATCAGACTAACACCCCCTGCAACATACTGACATACTGTATCCTAATTTGATGCACAAAAAAGGCAGTTTAATATCTTGAACAAACAAAAATGTCTTTTTTCAAAAACAAGGAACAAAGTAAAACAGGTCTTGTCTAGGGGTTGGCACCAGCAGAAAAGAGGAGGGTATAAGAAAAGGGTGGAGGGGGTGAATGTTGAGAAAATATTCTGTACTCATGTATGAAAATGGAAAAATAAGACCTGCTGAAACTGTTTCAGGAAAATGGTGGCAGAGAGGGGTAAAGGAGGATGATGGATGGGGTGAATTCAACTATGACATACTGTAAGAACTTTGGTAAAGGTCACAATGTACCCTCAGTACAACAATAAAAGATAAACAGATTTTAAAATTAGCTTAAGTTCTAATGAAAAAAATGAATAACATCTATCAAAATATGAGAAAACATTAAACATTTAAATGGAGAGACTTCTCACAAAATAAATGATCAGCAACCTCAAAAGTGTTAAGACCAGGAATGATAAGAAAACCCTATACAACTGTTCACCAATTAGTGGAGACCAAGGATACACAACAACTAAATGCAATGTGGAAGTCTAGATGTGAAATGGAAAAAGACAATAATGGAAAATGAGTGAAATCCAAATAAAGTAGATATAGTTGTTCACCAATAATCCAGAGGGATTGGATCCCTCTGTGGGTATCAAAATCCATTGATGCTCAAGTTGTGTGTATAAAATGGCACAGTGTCTGCATATGGCCTACATACATCCTTCCATAATTCTTCCTTTAAATCACCTCTAGATTACTTGTAATATGTAATACAAGGTAAATTCTAAGTAAAGATCTCATACTGTTTAAGGACTAATGCCAAGAAAAAAAAAAGTTCAGTGCAGACACAATTTTTTTTTCAAATATTTCTGAGCCACAGTTGGCTGAACCCATGGCTACAGAACCCACATAGAACAAGTGTGGTTTATAGTACTGCATCAATGTTAATTTCTTAGTTTTAATAACTGAACTATGGTTATGCAAGAAGTTAAACAATAGAGGAAACCAACTGAAGGTTAGACAAGAACTGTCTATACTGTTTTTACAACTTTTCTCTAAGTCTTATTAAATTACTTAAAAATAGAAAGGCAGAAAAAATTCTATTTCCTATATTGTTAACAGGCTATAGGACAGCATGTGTAGAAATAGGAGACCAAATTGGAGGCCACTAAGGTAATTCAGGCAAAATACGATAGCTACTTCAGTCAAACCAGAGTGGTGGAGTTATTGAGAAGTGTCTGGACTCTGCATACATTTTAAAC